TTTTAATTAGTTACTGTTATTTTTTATTTCTGATTTATTAGTTTTTTTTATGTATATCAAGTATACTTTTTTGTTAAATTGTATTCCATAGGAGCATATTATCAATTAACTGATTTATTAAATTATATTTTTATTATTAAACATGTTTTTTTCATTTTAAAATTGTTTTTTTTTTAAATTATCAAAATTTCTTTTTATTGTTTTTTTTTAAAATTTATATAAGATAAAGTTTCATATAAGAGTTGCATAGGGTCAGATTAGAATTAGGATTTAGGATTTTTGATTAGGGTTATATAGGGTTAAATTTACTTACTCCTCACTTTACACTTGGTTGATATAATAATTATGCTTATTTATAACATCCCATAGCGTGACAAATAACCTTAACCCACGAAAAAATTCTGTTCCTTAAAAAATTTAATAAGAATTGAAACATCACCAGTATCACACTGGTGACAATACATCTTATACAGTATATAATCCTAACCCTAAACTTAACCCTAATCCTAACTAATATCAATTATAACAGTCAATCGTAGTGTAAATCCGGTAGGGTTAGGGTTAGGCTTAGGTTAGGGTTAGGCGTGAAACTTTTATTTGTTAGAACGTATAAGTTTATAACCTGACGTAACATATTAACGGCACGTAATATAGATCATGTAGTGTGAGGATGACCAATCAGAATTGTAAGTATGTAGACCAACATGACGATGAGAGCACCCTAATCACACGGTACTTTATATTTTTTTTCCCATTTCACGAAACCGCCTCCACTAATAAAAACAAATATAGTAAAATCTTCAACTTTTACAACAACTCCTAATTTTGAAAGAACTAGAATTAATCTAAAGAAATAGATAATGCTTTGGTTAATGGACATGCGTTTTCTCAAAGTTTAGGTTTAGGGTTTGGAACAGCGAAAATTCTTGCGGACAAATCTTCTAATTATCTGAAAGAAATAGCGACAACAACAGCAGTTCTCCTTGAACCTAGAAATCGTGGCATATTGGTTCTTGTAGCCGGTGATGGAGACTATGAACCTGTGTTGGAAGAATTCCTGAAGGTGAGGTGGAGCCTCCTGTACACAAGCATCGACTTTAATGAATTATTTGGCTACTGGTAAACCCACCAAACCATTAAACCAAAGAAACGATCATTATCAATTGATGGCATGTCAGGAAAGAAACGAGGATAACTATTTGCAAAAGTGGTGGAACCCATGATTGGAAAAGGTGAAAATTATCGTGTTGAAAAGTGGATAATGTCGATTTTGGTAGAAATTTTCGAATATAAAAATGTATTTTGTGTATGTAAAATCAGCTCCCTTAATTATAGTGGTTTGGGTTTTACAAAAGCAACAAAAGCGGTAGTAGAGATGTTTTTAATCCAAAATAATTAATAATTTGACATTATAATTCATTTAATAAATTTTTTAAACATATTCAATTTTTTCAATACGCTTATGAACTCAATATCTAGCTTTAAAACCTCACTTAATTTATATTGTAAGTTATTTATAGATGAACTTCCAAATCAATATTAGAAGCATATGCCTTTTCATTTTCTGTAGATCGAAAATTAAATAAATTTCTAATATACTGTGTCAGGTTTTTTTTTTTTTTTGTCATCATCGAGGCTATTTTAATGTGGAATGTCGATCATTTCCTTTAAAACCAACAATGAACTGCTAAAAATCTGACCTAAAATCATATTTGGCAAAAGTAAAATTGATTTTTTACGGCCCCATTTAATTTATTTCATTAGAAAATGTTATAAGCAAATTTATATTACAGTATTTGAAAAATAATAACTGTTATTGGACTTGTATAAAT